AGATCTGTGAAAACAGATGTGCATGTAACACTCAGGTTCTGGAACAAGACTAAGGTTCCGTAGGTGAACGTACACCCAGAACCATCCACCAACTTAACCGGGCAGGGCTGGAAACATCCGGCAGACGGTGTCCCTTTTCCTCTAGAGGCATGTATATCACGTTAAAGGTTACTTGTCTTTTGTCCACAGACCTGAACTGTATCTTCAAAAGATTACAGACTACCTAGCGAGAAACAAGGCTTCAGCATGACGGTAACTCTCAGCCTCTCTGGGCTCCTGCCGCTGATTCTGACTGTTCTAGCAGTAGTCTGGCTGTGGATAAAGAGCAGACGCAACTATCCAAGCAACATTCCGCCTTTTCCGTCAACGCCTCTTCCAATTGTTGGGCATTTTCTCCAAATGGGAGGCAATCTTAGAGATAAAATTCAAGTGTGGAGAAAGGTAGCTGGGGATATTTTCAGTCTGGATCTTGGAGGACAGTTGAATATTTTGGTAAATGACTTCAGCACCATCAAAGAGATCTGGGTCAAGCACGCTGACTATATTGTAAACGCGCAAGACTCATTTGCAGTGCAGCTCATTGGCGAACACGATAAGGGAATAATCTCAGCCAGAGATGACAACTGGAAAGAGCAACGGACAACATCTTTGTCCATCCTTCGTTCTTTCGGAATGGGGAAAAATGTCATGGCTGACAAAATTCAAGAAGAGGTTTCGTGTGTTTTGGAGAAGATCACATCTTTCAAAGGAAATCCAGAGGACGTTAGATTACTTCTGAACATTAGTGTATCCAACGTGATTTGTTCCGTTACTGTCGGGAAACGATTTGATTATGAAGATCCATTTTTTGTTCGGTTCATGTATCAGTTACAAGACGCGGTAAAATATACTAGGAATGCGGCATTATTAACATCATTTCAATTCTTGTACTATTTACCCGGTGACCTCTTTAAGGCAAAGAGATTCGCTAAGGCTTCCATTGAATTAAATGAGAAATTCAGTAAGGCCTATGTCAATAAAATAAAACAAGACTTCGATGCACACGAAGATCCCGAGAACTTTATTGCCGCCTACATTAGGGAGATGAAGAAGTTGAAAAACAAGGGTATTCAGACACATCTCGATGAAGAAAACTTGGTTGCTATCGTCAGACTTCTTTTTCTGGCGGGAACTGAGACAACAAGCATCACAACGTTGTGGTGTCTTCTCTACATGCTGCATTATCCTGAGGTGCAAGAGAAGGTATATCGTGAAATTGAGGCTAATGTTGGAACTGAACGTATTCCTAACATGTCTGACAAACCCAAACTGGTTTATCTAAACGCAGTTATCATGGAAACACAACGTTTTGCCAGTCTTGTTCCTATTGGAATACTTCGAGAAGTCAGCGATACATTTGAAGTTGGCGGTTTTACGTTTCCCAAAGGAAGCATTCTTTGGCCAGTCTTGGACTCTGTTCACTACGAGAAGAAAATCTGGGGCGATCCAGAGAACTTTAGGCCTGAAAGATTCATCGACAAGAACGGAGCTCTCATCAACCGAGAAGAACTGATCCCATTCTCCATCGGCAGACGAATATGTTTAGGAGAAGCCCTGGCTAAAATGGAACTATTTCTGTTTCTGTCTGCTTTGTTTCAACGCTTCAAGTTTCAACCAGCTGATAGTTCTGGTAATCTCCCAACTTTGAAAGAGTCTTTCGGAGCTACTTGTGTACCCCAACCTTTCAAACTGAAGTTCATAGAACGCAGTAGACAAATATAAGGGTGTTTTTTATGTAATATTAGAGATTTCTTTATGCATATGTCAACGCACAAGAGTACTGTACAAAACTGCATACTGATTACGTTCGAAATAACCTTCAATTTTAGAATTTATTACCCAGTATTGAGACATATAATATCTATTACTCGGTTCTTGTTTTGTTCTTTTGTTTTCTCTGCGAATTCTTTCAGATGAGAAGTCGGCGTAAGTTTTTGAAGTCAGTGGGGCGACACATGTCGTCCAGTGTTCCACACCGCTTGGCATCAATTGGAATGCGAACAGGTCAAATCTGGAATCTCTCTACTGCATGCAGAGGGCAGGTCCATAGCACATATTGAGTATTCTGTGGCGCCTGTCCATATGGGCCAAGTTCTGATTCGCTAGCATTGAATATCTTGTAGATATGGCTGCACAGCTTGTTTTGTCCGGTACACAGATTGTTTGTTTCGTGTCAGAAGGTTGACTGCGTCTTCAAGATTGTGACCTGAATGGGAAGTGTTCTTATGGCTACCTCGATCCGAGTTTTTATTTTCCTGATAAGTGCATCCGGTATCCCCTGGCTGTTCTGTATGACGTCCATTTCTGATGGGTAGTCTACGTTTCGCTGACCCATTTTTCGGTTCGATAACATTTAGTTTTGAATAATGCAGGACATCTTTAAATTATCATTGTTTGACGAGAATGGTTCACAAAAGGATTCACACAATGGTTCACACAAAGGTTCACACAATGGTTCACACAAAGGTTCACACAATGGTTCACACAATGGTTCACACAATGTTTCACACAATGGTTCACACAATGGTTCACACAATGGTTCACACAATGGTTCACACAATGGTTCACACAAGGGTTCACAAAATGATTCACACAATGGTTCACACAAAGGTTCACACAATGGTTCACACAATGTTTCACACAATGGTTAACACAATGGTTCACACAATGTTTCACACAATGGTTAACATAATGGTTCACATAATGGTTCACACAATGGTTTACACAATGGTTCAAACAATGGTTCACACAATAGTTCACACAAGGGTTCACAAAATGGTTCACACAAGGGTTCACACAATGGTTTCCACAAGGGTTCACACTATGGTTTACACTTGGTTCACACAATGGTTCACTCAGTGGTTCACAAAATGATTCACACAAGGGTTCACACAATGGTTCACTCAATGGTTCACACAAGGGTTCACACAATGGTTCACACAATGGTTTACACAAGGGTTCACACAATGGTTCACACAATGGTTTACACAATGGTTCACACAATGGTACACACAATGGTTCACAGAAGGGTGTGCACAATGATTCGCACAAGGGTTTACAAATGGGTTTACACAAAGTTCACTCATAGGTTATACAACGGTTCACACAATGGTTCACAAAAGGGTTCACACAACGGTTTACACAATGGTTCACACAATGGTTCACACAATGGTTCACACAATGGTTCACACAATGGTTCACACAATGGTTTACACAATGGTTTACACAATGGTTCAAATAATATTTCACACCAATGGTTCACAACATGGTTTACACAATGGTTTACACAACGGTTCACACAATGGTTTACACAATGGTTCACACAATGGTTCACACAATGGTTTACACAGTCGTTCACACAATGGTTCACACAAGGGTTCACACAATGGTTCACACAATTGTTCACACAAGGGTTTACACAAGGGTTCACACAAGGGTTGACACAATGGTTCACACAAGGGTTCACACAAGGGTTTACACAATGGTTTACACAAGGGTTTACACAATGGTTCACAGAGTAGTTTACACAGGGTTTATACAAGGTTTTACACAAGGGTTCACACAAGGGTTCACATAAGGGTTGACACAAGGGTTGACACAATGGTTCACACAAGGGTTCACACAAGGGTTCACACAAGGGTTTACACAATGGTTTACACAAGGGTTCACACAATGGTTCACAGAATGGTTTACACAATGGTTTACACAATTGTTCACACAATAGTTCACACAATGATACTCAATATCGTTAATACAATAGTTCACACAAGCGTTCCCAAAATCGTATGCCAGTTATGAAAACCTCATACATATCTGAGATATCTGCATAGCAACATGTATCTTATTTTTTAATACATATATATATATTCATAAACACAATATTTTAACCAACGCTATGCTGTCAATGTCAAACATGGACACTGTCTTCAGAAGAAGGAGAAAAATAGTCACGACAGAAAAGAAATATTAACGTACTTTGCTAGGTGGAACAAGAGAAGATCGACTTAGGAACGATGATACCGGAAGGAGTGTCGGCACAGAACCAATACTTAACTTTATAGGTAGACAACAAATCAAATGGTTTGGCCATGTAACAAGATTTGCATCAGACAGGGCATCAGAAATAACAGTGTTATTCAGATAGAACGGTAACAGATCCAGAGGTCAACGACGCAGAATATGAACCGCACAAGTATCAGAGACACTGAAAAGTGCTTTATAAGAAGCGAACAGAAGGGCCCGTTCCAAAGATCTCTTCCTGTCCTGACGCCGCAAGGCATTTCAGGAGTAGAGAAAAGAAGATGAGGAGGAAGACTTCAACTCCTAAAATGGGATTATTGTATGGACTTTCGTTTAGACTCAAAATTCATTTGCTTTAAGCTTAAATTGCCTCAGACAAGGGATATATTCCGAGTATCATATATAAACGAATGGTAACAGAAGACACACGATTAGGTGAAACAACATGTGTAAGAATATGTGAACGAAGAATAATGACTGCATCCGGTAAGTAGCGGGAGACAGAGCATCTATGGGAGCCGTCGTGATGTAGCAGCTTGTCGCTCGCCTGTGGATCCGAAGGTCATTGTTCAATCCTAGCTGAGCCAGAATATTTTCAAACTTGACCTTGGCTCCAAGGTCGACCCAGCCCTAAATGGGTAGAGGTACATTCAGGAGAGTAAAGGTGGCCAAAGAAAGGTTTACACCAATATGTTCTCCAACTTCTGAAGCGTGCTTTGTTCCAAACGTATTGGTGTTACCTTTCGGTTGGAGTAAATAAGGCAGGCCGAGTAAGGGATCAAGATGCATGGACAACATATGGTCTCTACAATACTGCCCAGGCTTTGAGCTATGGAGAGGAGGAACTTCATCCCTGGCCGTAATTGGTTTCGGAAACAAATCGCTCAGTCAACAGAGGTTTAGGTGACTCGTTCACACAAGTTATTATGATGGCACCATGTCGCCTGCACCGTGATTTTACGCGCTTAGAACTCTTGACATACTTAACAGCGGCACTGACATGTCACAAGGCTATGAAATGGTTATTGTTATTTCTATAATATGTTTAAAGTTATATATATATATCTATAATATATATATTTATATATATATATATATATATATATATATATATATATATATATATATATAGTATATATATATATATATATATATATATATATATATATATATATATATATATATATATATATATATATATATATATTATATATATATAATAGTCTTAAGAACGCCAAAGAATGCTGTTCAGCAGCTTGACTTGATTTTAGTTTGTTCGACTGATACCTTGATATAGTTTGATTTACAAGTGCAGAAAAGCCTGGCACTGTGTATAAAAAGGCCAGCTCAGTCAAAATTAACCTCATTTTTGGCTTCTGGACCGACCCTGCAGGAGACCCACCCAGCTGTTGTGGCTCTGCACATTGGGCTAGACAGCGTGGGTACGGGCGACTGCAGGGGGAAGGCCGGTAGCCTGGCTGATTTCACGGCGGTGGTATGTTTACATAGTTAACCCTGAATTTGTCTCTAGTTGTTAGACTGTGTAGAGATATGTCAGTGCGTATCATCGCCCGGAGATAGTTCATTTTATAAGTGAAGTGTTTGGCACTTTAAGGATTGTAAGTGTTGTATAATTTGTGAACAGCACTTAGTATTATATTATGTTCAGTGAAATAAACAGATGTTGAACACGTTAATCATAATTCCAGTTTTTTTTTGTTTACATTAGGACTTATGGTTAGTGTGCCTAGTTTATTTGTTGCTATGCTGATCAAATTTTACACTGAAGATCTCATGTTAGGGCAAGAATATTTGTTTCTAGTTCAATCTAACGAACTTTCTTTTTCTTTATTTTTTGGGGTACTTCGGGCTTTTCGCTTCTAGGTGTGTGTGTGTGTGTGTGTGTGTGTGTATATATATATATATATATATATACACACACATATATATATATAAGTTAGTTGCGTATCCTTTACAGCAAGTTGCAAAAACAACCCCAGCATTTTTTTTGCTGTCCAGTAGTTTGCCATTGCTTTCTGGGCGGTCGGCTTCTCGATACCGATGTCGAAACGAACGCAAGGCGCAAGGCCCGCAGCTGGGACAAGGCACCCTGGCATTGCGAAGCGCGTTCGCAATGCGTAAGTCACAAACGCCATATATATGTGTGTCGGTGCGCCGATGTGTGTCTTATCTTTTTCCACTCGTTCAGCTTTCTTATCAAAGTATTTGCATTTACCTCTTTGTAGCAGCTCGACCGGTGTCACCGCAGTGGTAGACCTTTATTCAAGTGAATCATCGCAAGAAGTCAAAGCCTACACAGTCAGAGTGTCAAAGAGACACAGAAAGCATAATCCCATGATGCCCCACGGCAGGGCTGCTCAAGTTGGTTTATTTGGGAGCCAAAAAATTAAAAAATTGAATCTAGTGGGCAAGAATTATATGCCCCAGTATAGAAAGATCATTAATACAATACAACTGGCATTCTATCTGTGGGCCTATGAAAGAACTCTGTGGACCAAATTTAGCTCTCGGACCGCCATTTGAATAGCCCTCCCTTAAAGTGATATTACATTTTTCATCCATATTAGAAGATATACAATTTAGTTGCGTATCATTCAAACGATATTGCAAAACCAACCTTAGCTTTTTTTTTTTTTTTTTTTTAACTGTGATTTAGCTATGCAATATTACAGTCAGTGGTT